GTCTCAGTATAGTTACAACGGTTGCCCCACCCTTCAATCAGAAACGCATTACTGCTATACGGCAGAAATAGGCAGGGCGGTGGTACCTACCCGTGCGGACTGACAAAAGGTCCTACCACTAGTGACAACACCAGTCATTCAATCAAGTCGAACATTTACTCAGTGGTTGGTTATTATGAAGTGTGCAATACAAGAAAAGGTTTGGAAATACGAATGTATACTAACAAGAAAATGAATAGGTACTTGAAATTTTATTTCATTAGCTTGATTTTTATTTCGCAATTGCTCCAAAGTGAACGTTCAAATTAATTGTGCCATTATCAACAAACACACATTGTCGTAGCTAGTTTGATTGTAGATTTTTTTAAATAAATATTATGTGTCTACCTTATGTTTACGCATGACTTCCACGAAGAATTCATAAATTAAAATATTAAAATATACGTGATTGTCAGTATATCGCGGGTTGCATGTAGATTTGCCATGTAGGTAAATATGTCAGATAGGCAGATAGGCATTGACGCCGTCAATCTGCCTATTTTGATCTCACGATAAACACAAACTTTGAAGAGCAGTAAGACCGTTTTCTAATTTCTATTTCCTCATATTTCTAATTATGTTTTTTAATTTCTTTTTTCTAACATATTTTTTAGTTTCTAATGCAATTGAGACGTGGAATCCAAGTTTTTAACTTTAAGTGTACTCATGATGATCAACTTCACTGAAAACAGTTCTTTGAATATACAATACATAAAATGCATATCAATAACGCAGAGCAATTTATTGTAATATTATACTGTCAACCATAAAATTGCAATAAATTTCTGTTTAATTAAATTTTATTTCGAAATTGCTACCGTGCCGTATATAATTTTAAATTAAGCATAAAATTACGTGACACACAACCTTAATAAAAAAAAGGTTATGACTAAAATACACAAATTTTAATAAAGCAACAGAGCCCGCGATGCATTTGATTTTAAGTGTTTACGTTACGTCACCCGTGGACATCACGCCAAGCGGTGCTAATCACTACGGAATTTTCAAACTTTGTTCGTAGTGCTTAGGAAAGGTCTTGAAGGGTTTATTCCAGAGTTTGATGATTGACGGCAAAAAATTATAGGAAACTCAGTGTATATGCAACTCTTTGAGGTTGTAGAGTCAGACGACGTTTCGACGTCGCATGGTGCAAAGAAATAAAAGATGATTATCAGATGTTTTCATGAAAATACAGAGTATTCCAGACAGCCCTATTTATGGAGTAAACGATACAATATGCAGTTAATTGAAGTATTTTTGGAGATCGAGGGCTCCCAAGCAGTTTGCCCAGGGTAAATCTAAACAGTCCTTGGCCGCAGTCAAACACGAATATCATGCGACGTTGATATGGGATTAGTGGGTATTTCAGGTATGACCGAACCTGTGTCTTGTAGAGCATAATTGTAGGGACGTCAGGACGAGAGGACGAGAGGATAGGACGTTTCACCGGGTGCCAATCACCAATTTCGCTCTGCTGAGCTTCGAAAGTTTTGGACCCAGTTTCGTCATTTCGTTGAGCGTATCCAGCGCTCACGAAAATGGACACCATAAAATGCTAACACTTCCAGAAATTTCAACTAAATGCAGTGACACTTTTCTGAATTTCCCGCTATGGCACACGAAAAACGGATTCTTTTTGCAGTGAATAAACATGTCTTCAACAGGTCGAAATGCACTAAATTAAATTCGCGCCCTTTGGAGTATTTCCACAAAGATTAGATGCAACACAGGACGCATGTTTCGATTGTGTCTCCTGCAATGTTTTTTACTGAATTCGAGGATGGACGAGCCAGCCATCCGATTCATTTGGCCATCGTCACTTAAGCCATGCCGTTGCCTACAGCTGAGACTCAATACAGCTCGCAAACAAAATCTGGTGGTCAGTATCTCGTGTATTCAATGTTACATAATTAATTAATTAAGACCGTGGAACTGAGTTCTGAATATCGAACGCTTTCAATAAAAACGTTTTTAATTAATAAACAAAAATGTAGTTAATATTTAGAGCGATAACTTCTAACCAAAAAAAAGTTTTTTTTGTATTTCGGACAACATTCTTTGCTTTGTCGATTTCATTGTTCGCTGGCGTTTCCTCCTACAGGCATTGTAAAGTAAAGCGGTTTGGAACACAAGTCTGCAAAAGTCTCTAGGTCAGTTTCAAATTATTTGATTTTGTAAAATTTCAAAGTAATTGATAAATCATTCGATTCGTCTGTTGTGGCTGACTGTTAAAACAACAATTAAATTTATTTCAATGCTTGTTATTGAAAATTTCTAATAGACCTAAATGAATACCCAATAAAGAATAAATTTGTAATTCTACATCAAAAGGAACATATATCTTCAAGAAGCTATTTAATTCTTTTAGATTTATGGCAAAACGACATTTGTGCTTATATCATAATTCTTTCAATTTTGTGACAAGTTTTTTATTATTAAATGGACAGAGACTGGCAGTTATTATACAAAAGCTTTTTTTATATTGCTTAGATGGATGGACGAGCTCACAGCCCACCTGGTGTTAAGTGATTACTGGAGCCCATAGGCATCTACAATCTAAATGCCGCCACCCACCATGAGATAAGAGTTATAAGGTCTCAGAATAGTTACAACGTCTACCCCACCCTTCACACCGAAACGCATTAATGCTACTGGTACCTACTCGTGCGGACTCACAAAAGGTCCTACCACCAGTAATTACGCAAATTATAATTTTGTGGGTTTGATTTTATTAAAAGATGTTGTTCCTTTACCGTGGAAGTTAATCGTGAACATTTGTTAAGTACGTATTCATCGTAGGTACGTCATTAGAACAATTGGTACCCGCCTGCATTCGAATGGGATTTGAACACCGGACGTCTTATCCTTTAGGCCACGATGACTATAAAGACCATATAAATACCAGCGTACATACGCCACCCTCCTGGAAACACGTTATTTCACGACAAAAGTCGAAAGAACGGTATTACTCGCCCCTACGGACTAGCAATCCTGCGCAAGTTTATACGCAGGTACTTTTTTCCTTATCCAAGCCTAAGAGGCTATTCCAACTACGCGCGGACGGGTAGGTGATACGGTGCTCAACCTGGGAGGACTTGATAAAAATAGCCTCAGCAAGAGCTGCAGAAGCTACATATGTTTCTTTTATGGAGCATGTTATTAGTAACATAATATGTCAGATGCCCAATAATTGCAGGATCGAATGACACTTTCGGCGCGCACTGCGGTACCGTAAGCTTCTTGTAGTCGGTGTGGTGAAGCTCGATGGGGCTTAGTCGGTAGTCGGTTCTGTGGGGCAAGTGCTTCGCGCACCTTTTTCAAGGCGTAGTCTCCTGTGGGAAATTGGGGGAGGTGAAGGACTTCAGTTCTTCTCTACTCCCCTTCTTCCTCTCAGGAGGCGCCGGAGTCTGACATAACCCGGTCCGTTACCCCCCACGACCGGGTATCCGTAAATGGATGCTCCAGCGTTAAAAAACGTGTGGCACACGGGAACTGCCGCGGTAAAGCTATTGCATAGCATTTTTTTAACATTTTATGCAATTATAATTAGACAATGATAATTTAATATTAAAACAATAATATAACAAGACCACGCTATATTAAACATTACTAAAAGCAAAACATTAACTGCCCCCTTCACACTCATAAGCTAGACCGCGCGAGAGAGAGATGGGCAGACTTTTCATGATGCGCATGCAGTGTGACGTGACGCCACGCGCCTATTCACAAACACTACACAAGCGCAACGTGTGAATGTGTTTGTTGAACACGAGCTACATAGTAGGCGTAATGGGGGTGACAGGTTATTTTCGTTACGGAATTTCTTGATTCAGTCGCCGCGCTCAAAGCCCGCGATAAAATCTATGCAATAGCTTAAAAAAAAGGTTCGAATGACACCATATTAAGAAAAATACTGTTTAACGAATAAAATGTCACGTGCGTTCGGAGTGGCGGAATTTCATTTTAAGTATAAATTATTCCTTACAGACTCCGCTTCATATTCCGTTTCATAAAACCCATACATTACATGTTACACAGCATATTTAGTTCAAAGCAAATAGTTTCGTTATAATACTTACAAAAATATAAACAAAAACAGTTTCGAAGCATTTAAACATAATCAACCTTCACGAATCTACTGCTACGAGTAGATATACTTTACCCAGTATTTTGTGTGATTACTGGCGATTTCCCACGCGTTAATTGTAAATATAAAATAATATAATGTTTTTTTTCGCGAAATGCACTTGTCCACTACCTATATGATTCACGGAAATTTTGTGCTGGGAAAAAACCATCTGTCAAACCGTTGTACTCGCAGCTTGAAATGAAAACCAATAACACACTTTTACAGTTCTATTGTTTTAATATGATTTTTTTGGTTGTTTAATTTGATTTTTTACTAAGCTAATCGTAGAAATGACACATTTATTTACAACTAAAAGAATGTTAATTTGGTTTTTTTTTATTGCTTAGATGGGTGGACGAGCTCACAGCCCACCCGGTGTTAAGTGGTTACTGAAGCCCATAGACATCTACGACGTAAATGCGCCACCCACCTTGAGATATAAGTTCTAAGGTCTCAAGTATAGTTACAACGGCTGCTCCACCCTTCAAACCGAAACGCATTACTGCTTCACGGCAGAAATAGGCAGGGTGGTGGTACCCACCCGTGCGGACTCACAAGAGGTCACCAGTAATTACGCAAATTATAATTTTGCGGGTTTGATTTTTATTACACGATGTTATTCCTTCACCGTGGAAGGCCATCGTGAACATATATTTGTTGAGTACGTATTTCATTAGAAAAATTTGTATTCGAACACCGGTGCATCGCTTCAACACGAATGCACCGGACGTTTTATCCTTTAGGCCCCGCGACGTGTGTTCAGATCACCTCTTTTAAATTTTGCTTCATCTAGTGCCAAATTCATTAAGTGTATTATTATTTATTGTTCAAGGTAAAACGCGCACTAAAGACAAATACCGCGTGGTGTACAGTGATCATCAGCGGCTGGAGCTCGAGAAGGAATTTCACTACAGTCGTTACATCACTATTCGCCGTAAAGCAGAATTAGCCGTCAGCCTTGGTCTCTCGGAACGACAGGTAGGTTAACTTTAAATGTAAAACTCACATACAAACCAAATAACGAGTAGGTATTGTGTATTTAAATTCATTGCGGCTTAAAGAGGTAATAATTTATTTTCAAAATGAACGCGTAATTTCATAGAGCCAGCTATAATCATTTATCTATTTATGGATTTTCGTCTAGTCTAGTCTAGTCTAGTCGTCAATTAGATGATATAGGGATGCAAACCAGATCGCTTTGAGTTTATACCTATCCTTCAATAGCGGATGATTTAGTAGTATTAAAATCTTTATTTTCTATTTTATGTCGCCTTTAATTCATATTACAATCAGTTACAAGATATATGTATGTAGGTATGCAAACCAGACCGCTTTGAATGTATACCTTTTCGTCCCTATCGGATGGTATAATAGTATTTAAATCGTTATTTTCTATATTAGTCTTCCACTAACTCCTATTACAATTCAGCAACTCAAGGCTTACCGGTTCCCAAATAGGATCGGGCAAGCGGCCAGTCAAAATTAAGTTGATTTAAAATATATCGTAGGTCTGTGTTATGCAGAACCAACCTATTGGGCAAAGGGTATTATAGGAAGATCGGTATTAAGGATTCGTGGTTATAATTGCAGTTTCTCCTATAGACTTAATGACATTTACTTTTGTTCAACATTTTAAGGTGAACTAGCTTATGGCTTAATTAGTCATTAAGTGCTATATGTATTCCAATCTCTGAGTTTGCAAAAGCTAGTGCCATCGCTTTTTAAATTACCATTAAAGGATATGTCGGAATCCTGCAGAAACATCGCAAAAGTGAATTTATTCTGATGCTTGATGGAGGACGGAATGCCACTCGGTTGGAATTTAGTCAATTGTAAATTTATCTATAATTCGAAAGAATTTTATTTATTCAATATGATATAGACGATTCAGTCGAATATAAACATCAATAAAACGAAAAGGCGAGGCCGGACCTTGAACTAGTGACTTTATTGAAAACCTCGAACTACAAATGTAATTATTTTGCAGGTAAAAATTTGGTTTCAAAATCGACGCGCCAAGGAAAGGAAGCAAGTCAAAAAACGTGAAGAGGTGGTGATGAAGGAAAAGGGCGATCACGCTTCGTTGCAGCACGCGCAACTCCACCACGCGACAATGTTACACCACCAGCAAATGATGAACGGTATGATGCACCACCACCATTACCATCAAGGAGTACTACAAGGCGTGCCCGAGCCTCTAGTCGCAGGGGTACCGCCGGTCCCTCTACTGTGACCACATCATCAGGACTATTGCGACTACAGTGCCACTTTTACACAGTGACCGCTCCAGTGATTTCATGTTATGACCATATTATGAACGAATACCCCGATAGGGCCATCGATAGTATGTGTGACATGATCTAATTAAATGTGTGATTTCGTGCAATCTCGTGAAACACGTTCCGATTTGGCATCATTATAATATTTGATACATTCAATACTCTTAGTATAGGCGCTACTTCGGTAGTTACCTTGCTGTAAGCGGGACACTTGTTTAAGTTATAGCGTTTAGGTTTTTTCTTTGATGAGAAACAATACATGAAAGTACATGAATAATTTCTACAAATTACGATGACAATTAAAGGAAAAACATTAGCGCAATAACTGTTACGTCCGTCGTTAATAATGCCTTTTGTGAAGTAGCTAAAATGAAGTAGGTATATTCTAAGTGTTCACGCCTTATAGCATTTTAGTGTTTAGTACATTGGTTGCAAAGTACGAATAATTATTCCAATATGAATTTTGTCACTTGACTGTAAATATAGATAACTATATTTTTATATTATTATTGATAGCAATTAAGTATTAATTAATAATTGTAAGTGATTGTTTCTCAATGTTACTAGCACATTCACGAAGTAAGTAATTGCAAAATTAGTTGTAAAAATATTGGTTTCACGTAGTATTGTTTTATTCATAACCTTTTTCACCTCGCCGTATATGATAAATGTATGTATGATTTTTTTTGTCAAATTATTGGATTCAAATAATGTTTTATTCAAATTTTCCGTACAGATGTTATTTCTAGAGAATCTCAACTACAAAAGCTGATTAATTCCGTTAATTTCAAATTAAAAGCCTGTAACATTGAGAACTGCAAATGATTTTTTACGTTGAATGAGATTATTTGTAATTTAAGATTTCCTGTAAATAATAGCTTAATTAATAGATTAAATTATTTTACGCCGGTAATTTTTCAATTTTCACATTGTAACTTCGACTTTATAAAATCATTAGTTACTTAAATTGAGGAAAAGCATTTTAACGAAAAGAATGATAGGTTAAACTGAATTATTTGTTAAATTTAACAATATTTATTGATTCACAAACCGTGGAACTAGGAAATCTTGTTTATCGTTTGTTTTGTGATATATTATGATGTATAAGTTAAAATAGGGGTGCTAAAAGAATTTTTTTCTTTTCTAAAACAATTGTGCAGAAATTCTCGAGTTTGTTGTAAAAATAGAGTTGTGTTGATTTTTAAATGAATTATCGTTTGTAACACACGAATTGTTAGTATTTCTTGTACGTAGCACTATCACAAAACACATTTGGTAAACTAAATAAAATCATGTTAATCAAAATTATTACGTCTTTTTTTATAACCTCTTCTTTGTTACTAATCGTCAATGTGGATTTATAGTACACGCTAATTTCATCATCACAAAATATGTGCTATGCTCTAAATTTCTGAATCGCAGTAAGCTATACCGTGTTCAAGTTTTCAAATAATATATGTATTATCGTGTTTGTTATTGTGAAGTTCTATGCGCTCAGCCAAGTCCTAACAAGTAGAAACGTGTGGGCGAAACCACCGTCTTATATTTATCTTGAGAATGTTAGTGACTTCGTGAGCGAAACTTCTAAATATAACAACAATTTTTTAATTAGAAATTACAGCGTTGGCATCTGGTCACCTGTGCTTCGGGCAATACCAATGCCCCTGAGCGCCTGTAACGACTTTCTAGTGTGTTGGTCTGCCTTGAATATAAAAATAAATTTTAATAGGTTTGAATCAGGGTTGTTACGGATGCAATAATTTAGACATCCGCGGATGCAGATACGGATGCGGATTATTAGAAGTTCACATCCGCGGATGCGGATTGGATGCGGATGCAGATGTAATACAGATGCGGATGCGGATTTTGCGATTTTAAAAGGATAATTATTTAAAAAAATGTATCATTTTAAAATCCCAAAATCCATGAATAAATAACTGAAAATCAATTTAATTTTAACTTTTTATTTATTTAATCATATTTTTTGAACAAAATTATACAATTTTTTGGTTTTACTTATGACAAAACAGAATTTTAAGCTTCGAGTTTCATAATAAAAAATCTTTGTTTAATAATTAACCTTAAAGATTGGTGAATTATATTTAATAAATAGCAATATTGCAGCCTTCTCAGCTTCCAACCTGTTTTTTAGTGGATTATATATTAACCCAGCTCCACTAAATAGTTGTTCGCTGGGAGCACTGGCTGGTGGAGGTGGTAAATGTCTGCATGCTAATTTGGAATTTTTTTTCCTGCCTGCTTCACCATTTTTTTCTTCAATTCCTTTTCCTTATTCGCACTTTGGAAATAATAAAACTCATCCGGGTGTATTTATTTCCGGTGATTTTTCAAAGAAGTAGTAGTGCGTCCCTTCCACGAGTAACTTTTATTGCATATCTTACACTCTGACTTCTCCGGATCATTTTTGTCTATTGTATATTATTATATAAGACTTATAGTCTAGATACTTCCTTTTATTGGTGGCGACATTTCACATAATATTTATATCAAATATTCATTAAACACGCAAAAAACTATGAAAAACACAGTAAACACTGACTGTAACTATAATTTATTGACAATGAGAAAAAACACAACAAACAAAACCTGTAGGATCTTGTTACCAATGTGCGCCTTCCTATTCGTCAGTTACCGAATGAAGTAAGCAATAGACATGTGTAAGTAATGCGAGTGATATTACTCGGGTAATATTACTCTACGATGTAATGCAACATCACACATTACGCGAAGGAAACAAACATCACACTATCAGTTCACCCAACATGTTTCTTTCTTTGTCGTGTAATACACGAACGGAACCGAGCGAGCGAGACAGACCGATCGACGCAAAATAAATGAGCAAGCGACACGGAATTATTCCTAGTGATTTTGAACCATATGTCCTGGCCGCTAGGTACATTTTTATACCTATGGTACGTCTGAATTTTAATATAGGTATTTGTGTTTATATTTTTCATGCGGCCAGCCGGTAGCTCCCCGCAAGTACTTACTTAATTTTTTATTCGCAACTTTTGTAAAATCGCTAGTCGCTCGTAATTGTTTAGTAATATTTCATATTAATTTTTGTGTTTGATTTGAATTACTTAAGCACTTGTTTGAAGATAGTTTTATTATTTGTTTTAATGCGTGTTTAATAAGTGAAAGAAATAACGGCGTCTAAATGAAAGTACAGTCCTCCTTGGATGCACTTTGAGGATATCGCGCCGAAACAATGCATCTACTGCTCTCGTATATTAACATTATTGTCGAGCTCAATTTGCAGTCTAAGTCGCCATATGAAATCCGTTCATCCCACAATAAATTATATTAAGTAAAAAATAAAATTATTATATTATTAAGTAAGTCAATCTGTCAAGTAATATAACAGTGTATTACAATACAAAGTTCATACTTTGTATTGTAATACACTACTGTAATGACACACCCGAATCATTACCTAAGTGATGTGTTTATACACATCACTTAGGTAATGATTGATGAAAACATTACACATCACTCTTAACATTACTCGGTGCGTTCAATAGATACTGTGACGACGAATACATTGTATCTATACACCCGAATCATTACCTAAGTGATGTGTTTATACACATCACTTTGAACGCACCGAGTAATGTTAAGAGTGATGTGTAATGTTTTCGAGTAATATCACCTATCTGTAAAAGTGATGTCATATCACATTACATTGGGAAGTGATGTTTTGCGCAAGTCTAGTAAGCAATTACCAAACAAACGTGAAGCACGTGTCACTCTGACTCCGCCCACTATCTTTACATGTAGTTACTTGTTGAAATGAATCTGCATCCGTTAAACTCCGCATTGATTGATGCGGATGTGAATGCGGATGCAGATGTCTGAAATAATGCGAATAGTCCGCATTTGCGGATGCGGATGCGAATATTCGTAACAACCCTGGTTTGAATTTAAATTTATGAAATTGGTACTTTACTTAAAAGTTAAGCCCTGTTATAATATGCTGATATGACATTTGGGTGAACTGCAATTTTCGTTATAAATGTAGATACATCAAATTCTTGAGGCAAATGCCAATAAAACTGGAACCGTGTGAAGCTATGTATGATTGATATTGAAAAAGATCACAGAAAGTCACTTTTAAATTTAGAAGTGATCATTTATAAATATGTACATTAAGAATTACTCTTAGATTTCAAATTCAATATCTATTTTATTACTAAATTTTGTTTAGTATTTTTATTTTGTTTATTAATCAGGTGTAATATATATCTAAATTTAAATATATTTTTTTTATATGTTATTTACTAACTATTATATTTTTCAGATATTTATTATTATAACAAATACGAACAACGTTACATAGTGTTAGCGGGACAAATGCACGCCGCTACTTTGAATTTTGAGGGCCATTGAATATGAACACAAAGTAATTTTTTGTTCTGTAACGTAAAACAATAAAATGCCGTCCCGAATATTGTTTATGTTTTAAATCCGTACAGAAGTTTGACCGGAAATATATTCGGTGTAAGAAATACTTATTTTTGAATTAGAACCTCAATAAGAGCTAAATAATCTCGTAAACAGACACCTAGGGTTGCTGGAAAGTAATTTTGTGATCTTATCAGCATAGTATGTTAGTCAGGTTGACTACCTCTAAAAAATACCAACTATAAAGCTGCTTTCAGACTATGCTATACTATAGTAGCATATAGTAAGCAGCCTATATTTAGCCAACAATATACTTAGTCTGGCCATAAATACTGTTACAATTAAAAATAAACAAAATATTACATTTGAATTTGGAATCTGTCATTTTTATATGATTGCTTTGATTGATTGATCATTGAGTTTTCTCATTTTGGCGCCAATACATTGAACAATATTTTGCGATATTAAAATGGAGTGGGGTGATAAAGAGAACCGAATCGCTGTGATTGCATTACACAAAGTAGGTATG